GATAATCCACAGATACATTAAAAGTATTTTTGCTTTATTATATCTCAAAATACTCTCCTTTTGTTACATACAATTATTGTTATATATAAAAATAATTTGCAAATGTTGAGCAAGATATAATCCATTAGATAGTAAATAACTTGTACAATGATGTATTATGGCTATCTTAATGGCATACAATGGACCTGGAGTTACAGACCATAATGCATCCATGAGATCACACACATTTTGGTTGACAATGCATGATCTGTGGATATGTACCTTAGTCATTCTAAGTTGGGGGAAGGCGATTCTTTTAAAGAAAGAATTGAATTTCAGCTGTATACCCCTACACATCAGTAAATAGACATATTTTGATGCTGCTGCTTTCGTATTCTTACCAGGAAGGCTTTTCATAAATCTGCTTGAGGACTACCTACCACCTTGTTGAAAGTATTTTAAGATGTCATAAACTGTAAGATACTACCTTGGTTTCAAAGATGTGAAAAATTGTGCTCAGTGCTAAGCATTGAAGAAATTATCATATCCAAGTAAGCCATACTTTGGCCTTTTAATGTTAACAAAAACTAAGCAAATGAATATTGAAGATACTTGGACTGTTCAGTCTCCTTTTTTTATCATTAATCTGGAAAATTAGAACAGATCTATTGCTGGACAGCCCAGGTAAATTATTTTGCTTAATTCTTTTACTAGGCTTTTGAATATGCATGCTGACAATTTGGAATTTCTTCTCAATAAAATTCACCTACATTTTTGCCTTTTAAATATTTTCCTCATTTGTTGTGTCATCAGTATTATGTTATCAGTGTAGAACAAGCTTGTGAAATTTTGATATTACTCCCTCCTTGAAATTTTTGATGAAACACTCAAATACCAAGAATTGTTATAAAAGAGGAGCTCTTGAACTACATTTTCACTTCCCTTTATATGTTGTTTAATAAATTATTTTTTGAGGAAAAAATATTTTTCGGGTGGGCATGGTGGCTCAGCCTGTAATCCCAGCACTTTGGAAGGTCAAGGCAAAAGGATTGCCTGAGCCCAGGGGTTCATGACCAACCTGAGCAACTTGGTGAGACCTCGTCTCTACAATAAATCACAAAAACTAGCCGGGAATGGTGGCATGAGTCTGTAGTTCCAGCTACTTGGAAGGCTGAGGAGGAAGGAATGCCTGAACCCAGCAGGTTGAGGCTGTGATGTCCATGAGCATCCCACTGCACTCCAGCCTGGGTAACAAAAGTGAGACTCCAACTCAAGTATGTTTTTCTTGGAAAACATTCTTTCCAGATTTTTAAATATATTGGAATTTACAGAATAGTATAATTTAAAAATATCTCCTTCATCTGTACTTATATCTCCCTCTCATTTGCAGTTTATTTTTTAATCCTTTTCCTTTTCCCCTTGATTAGATTTACCCAAATCAAGTATTAAGGTTTTTTCCCACAAATGCTGAATATATCTATTTTATTTTCAAGTTCTCTAACGTCTATACATTATTAACTTATTTTTTATTGGCTCAGAATAATTTTCCCTTAGTTTCTTGAGATGAATACTTATTGTCTTAACAGTTTTATCAAGTGATTACTATATTAAAGAGACAGTTTTATTTATATACCTAATCTGAATTGTACCCCACACCTTTAAAATAAAATAAAAGAGACAGTATTAAGAGCTGGTGATAGAGTGGCAAGCAGGAGAGACAAAGTGCTAGCCTTCAATATTTGTTTCCTGAATACATTAACAGGTATTGATTTTGCACTGAGTAAAATGGCTACATCCACAAGTTCTGATATGTAAGATCTTATTATCATTCATTTCCAAATTGTCTCTTATGGCTTAATTTTCTCTTTAATCTAGTATATAATTCATGAGTAATTGCATTTCCATGTATATACAGTTACAGAAATTCCATTTCATATAAACCAGTGATCACAGAAAAGGATATTCATTTAACTACAATGGTGAAAATTGGTTAAAACATAAATACTCATCATTAAGGGAAGATTTAAACTCACTATAGTACATTCCTATTTTAAAAAACTGGGCCATTCTTGTTAGTTTAGTGGTGAATATTAATGTAACCAAACCGAGTCAGCAATTCATTGCTAGAGGAAGATGTCACCAGCAGAGAAATAGACCGTGCCTTCCCTTTCTCAACACAGCTAAGCATCTGCCATTATATCTGAATGCTCCATCTTTTGCATCACTGTTTTTTGCTTATGGTGACATTATGTTATTGATGATTTAAATATCTGAATTGCCAAAGTACCACTCTATAGATCACTTATTAAACTGAAAGAAACAGTTTTACAACAGAGAAAACTGGTGATTGCCATATGAACCAAGTATTCAGTTATCTACTGCTGTGTCACAAACTGCTCCAAAGCTTAGTGGCTTAAAACAAAGACAATTTTTATTTTACTAATGAATCTGCAATTTGGACAGGCTTATGGGGAAAAGTTTGTCTCACTCTATCTGGCACCAGCTAGGATGGCCTGATGACTAAGGGTTAGAATCATCTGAAGGCTCACACACTCATATTTGATATTGATACTGGCTGTTACCTGGGATATCAGCTAGAGCTGTAGTCAGGACACATTTACTTAGCTTTTCAGTATGGTTACTTGACATCTTCATAGCATGATGGCTGGTCTTTAAAAATAAGCATCCCAAGTGGGTCAAACAGAAGCTGTACTGCCTTTTGTGACTGAGTCTTGGAAATTACATAGCATCACTCCTGCCATAAACGCAGGCCTGCCTGCCTAGTTTCAAAACGAAGGACCATGAGCCCTACCTCCTGTTGGGGGAGTGTCAATATCACACTGTGGTCATTTTTGGAAAGCACATTCTGCTACACCAAGTGAATGAATGTAGGATAACACAGTGATATTACATGACATTGTAAGCTACCTAGTAAGTTACAAATTAAAATACAAAACCTCTCCTATGAAGTATTCTTGCCAAAATATTTAATCTGCACTTTACTGGGTCTCTAATCCTAACTTCCAGTTCATGGGAGATATTGGGTGAAAAGGAGCACAGTTAAAAATACTTTGAGCCGGGCTTGGTGGCTCAGCCTGTAATCCCATGCATTGGGAGGCTGAAGTGAGTGGATTGCCTGAGCCCACAGGTTCGAGACCGGCCTGGGCAACTTGGCGAGACCTCATCTCTACAATAAAATAAAAAAGTAGCCAAGGTGGTAGCGTGCGCCTGTAGTTCCAGCTACTTGGAAGGCTGAGGCAGAAGGATTGCCAGAGCCCAGCAGGTCGAGGCTGCGGTGGCCGGGAGCAGCCACTGCACTCCAGTCTGGGCCACAGAGTGAGACTCCAATGCAGAAAAAAAAAAAAAAACTTTGAGAGGCTGGGTGTGGTAGCTCACACCTATAATCCCAGCACTTTGGGAGATTGAGGTGAGAGGATTGCCTGAGCTCACAGGCTTGAGAACAGCCTGGGCAACTTGGTGAGACCTCATCTCTATATTAAATCAAAAAATTTGCTGAGCACGGTGGTGTGTGCCTGTAGTTCCAGCTACTTGGAAGGCAGAAGTGGAAGGATCACCTGAGCCCAGCAGGTCGACGCTGGGGTGGCCATGAATGTGCCACTGCACTCCAGCCTGGGTAACAGAGTGAGACTCCAACTCAAAAAACAACAAAACAAAACAAACTTTAAGAAAACAATGTGAAAAGTTCAGAATTTGACATTCTACAAGGTAACTATCCTACATGCTTAAAAAGTCAATTTGCAATAAAATTGGGAGAGGGGTGTGTACTTATTTAAAAAAAAAAAAAACCTAACAGTACATAACCAAATGCAACCATGACTTTACTTGGTTCCTAAATTTTAAAAATAACCCATGAAAAGCATTCTTCACACAACTGAAAAAATATAACAAGGACTGAATATTAAAGATTATGGAATTATTGTTAATCTCTTTAGGCATGACAGTGATTAAGTAGAGGCAACCTTCATTCTTAGTGACTTGCCATGGTGTCTACAATTTATACTGAAATACTACGGCAAAAATATGTATTATGTAGAAGCAAACCAACTATAACAATATGCTAACAACTGCTGACTCTAGAGAGAACATTCCAACGTTCATTATATTAGTCTCTTGATTTTTCCAAATGGACAATTGTCTTTTGGTTATTTGTGGACAGAAAAAGAAGACTGTGACATATCTGGTTTTGGGGTTATGAAAAGAAAAAGCATTACAGCCCTCCCTGATTCTTTGAAAGCTTTACTCTCTCAATCTTCACACTAATCAAATCTAAGAGATTTCTTTCTTACATTAATTTTCATAAATGAGTTCTGGTTTTAGAAACAGAAGTTTACTCTATTTTACTGAACTATTTATCCATGATTAATTATCCAAGTTTAAGTAAGAAGTGAAAGGTAATGGACAGTTTTTACAAACTCCTCACACCCATGGGGCCTTCCTATGACATGACTTTACTTATAGTATCACTAATGATAAAAATAAGAATAGGCTGGGTGTGGTAGCTCATGTCTGTAATCCTAGCACTCTGGGAGAACTGCTTGATCCTGGGAGTTTGAAACTAGTCTACAAATCATAGCGAGACATCATCTCTACAAAAAAATCAAAAATCAAAAAATGAGCCAGGCATAGTGGGACACACCTGTAATCCCAGCCACTCAGGAGGCGGAGGTGAAGGGATCTCCTGAGCCCAGGTTGAGGTTGCAGTAAGTCGTAATTGTCCCACTGCACTCCAACCTGGGCGACAGTGAGACTCTGACTCAAGAAAAAATAATACTATTTATTGAACACCTGCTGTGTGCCAAATACTCTTCTAAAGGCTTTATTTTTTATTAGCACTTCATCCTCACAAAAATGTTACTAGGTAGGTACTATTATTATCATTTAAAAACTGAGGCAGAGAAGTATTTTGCCAAATATCACAGAAGCAGAAGTGGAATTATTAGAATTATAGAAAAGACATTCCATGGTTAAAGTCTTTCCCACATTTATTACATTAACAGAATCATTTTCTGTTACAGTGTTATATAAAGTGTGATCCACATGCTGACAATGGTCCACAAATTATTTGTTTCTGATCTGCAATGAGTTAAGTTACAAATACTGAAAGCAAGTATTTAGAAACTTTTATAGCAATTGAACAGAGCTAATTTATGTCAGTTAAATACAATTTTTAAAATTACTGGTAATCCACTATTATTGAAACATTGCTCAACATTTTGTAAGGGAAGAGGTCCTTGATGGTTTGGGATACACTGTATCAGTATCAATCTGCTTAAGATTAACCAGAACTGAGTGATGCTACAGTTTTCTGCTCTTTAAAAGAACATGTAAAACCATATGTTAAATTGTGGGCATGAAGCAAAACAAATAAAAACTTTCTTAAATTATAAATTCTCTGCTGTTGCAAAAGGCTTTTTTTTTCTTTTTCAACGCATTTCAAGCAAAAGGCATTTTCTAAAGACCATCACGTTCTCTTTACATTATGAATAGGGTTTCCTCACTAATATGATTTCTCTGATGTAAAGTAAGTTGATCACTACGAATAAAGGCTTTCCCACATTCTTTACACTTATAGGGTTTTTCACCTGTATGAATTCTGTGATGTCGAGTAAGTTCTGAATTAACACTAAAAGCCTTCCCACATTCTTTACATTTATAGGGTTTCTCACCAGTATGAATTGTGTGATGTCGAGTGAGTTCTGCTTGAAGACGAAATGCATTCCCACATTCTTTACAGCCATAAGGTTTCTCACCAGTATGAAGTCTAAAATGTTGAGTAAGATGGTACCGACGACTAAAGGTCTTTCCACAAACCTTACATTCATATGGAATCTCACCAGTGTGAGTTCTTTGATGTAAGGTAAGTTGATAACTACAAATAAAAGCATTCCCACATTCATTACATATGTAGGGTTTCTCACCAGTATGGATTCTGTGATGTTGAGTAAGATGATAGTGACGACTAAAGGTCTTTCCACATTCCTTACATTTGTAGGGTTTCTCCCCAGTATGAATTCTATGATGTTGAGCAAGATGATTGCTACGAATAAAGGCTTTCCCACACTCCAGACATTTATAGGGTTTTTCACCAGTATGAATTCTGTGATGTTGAGTAAGTTCTGTTTGAAAGCGAAAGGCTTTCCCACACTCATTACATATGTAGGGCTTCTCACCAGTATGAATTTTATAATGTTGAGTAAGATTATAGCGACGACTAAAAATCTTCCCACATTCTTTACATTCATAGGTGTTCTCATTGGTGTGAATTCTCTGGTGTGAAATAAGTTGATTGCTCCGAATAAAAGACTTCCCACATTCCTTACATTCATAGGGCTTCTCACAAGTATGAATTCTGTGATGTCGAGTAAGTTCTGCTTGAAGACGAAAGGCTTTCCCACACTCATTACATATGTAGGGTTTCTCACCAGTATGAATTCTGTAGTGTTGAGTAAGATGATAGCGACCACTGAAGGTTTTCCCACATTCCTTACATTCATAGGGAATCTCGCCGGTATGAGTTCTCAGATGTAAAGTAAGTTGATAGCCACAAATAAAGGCCTTCCCACATTCCTTACATTCATAGGGCTTCTCGCCAGTATGAATTCTATGATGCCGAGTAAGTTCTGTTTGAAGACGAAATGCTTTTCCACATTCTTTACATTCATAGGGTTTCTCACCAGTATGAATTCTATGATGTCGAATAAGTTCTGCATGAAAACTAAAAGACTTACCACATTCTTTACATTCATAGGGTTTCTCACCAGTATGAATTTTCTGATGTTGAACAAGGTATGAGCCATGACTAAAGGCCTTCCCACATGCATTACATTTATAGGGTTTTATACCAGTATGAATTTTCTGGTGTTGACTGATATGTCGTTGCACCCTAAAGGTCTTTCCACAAACCTTGCATTCATAAGGCCTCTCACCAGTATGAATTCTTTGATGTTCGGTAAGTTGATAATGAAGTCTAAAGGCCTTCCCACATTCTTTACATCCATAAGGTCTTTCCCCAGCATGAATTGTCTGATGGACTCTAAGGTCTCTAACACGACTAAAGGCCTTCCCACATTCCTTACACTCATAGGGTTTCACACCAGAATGTATTCTCTGATGTTCAGTAAGGTGGTAATGAAGTCTAAAGGCCTTCCCACATTCTTTACATCCATAGGGTCGCTCCCCAGCATGGATTGTCTGATGTACTCTAAGGTCTCCCACTCGACAAAAGGCCTTTCCACATTCCATACATTTATAGGGTCTCTCCCCAGTGTGAATTCTCAAATGCTGAACAAGGTAGGACTGTTGTCTAAAGGCCTTGCTACATTGCTTACATTCATATAATTTCTCTCTAGTATGGATTTTATGATGTAGAGGAAGAGATATCTGGTTTTGGATTAACATTTTACTAATGCATTCCATCTGATGTCCTTCTTGTCTCTCAAATTCATGTTTGCACTGCAAACCATTTCTGAAAATGGTGTCCTCATGGATGGAGGTTTTACTTTTTCCTACTGTCTGTAATTGAGATAAATATATTTCACAAACATCCTTTTCTGGAAATAACTTCTGGGTGACATATTCCAAATCTGAAAAAAAAAAAAGCAAACAAATGCCGTACTGCTAGCTATGTTTGTGTTGGGGATTAAATGGGAGGGCAATACCTTATAGTAGAAATAAAAGATAAACTGAAATAATACATATTCGTTTAGAGCAGGAACCAGCAAGCTTTTTCTGTAAAGAACTAGATAGTAATGATTTTAGGCCTTGTAAGGCATGTGGTCTCTTGTTACCATTACATAGCTCTGCAGTTATAGCCTAAATGCAGTCATAGGCAATAGTGAGTGTAAGGCTGTGGTATAGAACTTTATGGACACTGAAATTTGAATTTCAAAAAAATTTTACATGACACAAAATATTCTTTTGATTTTTCCAACCATTTTAAAATGTAAAATCCAACTGTAATTTGTAAGTTATGCAAAAACACACAGTGAGCTATTTGGTTCATAGGCTACAGTTTGCTGGCTCCTGGCTTAGGTAATTCTAAATTATTGTAATGCAATTTGAAAGAAGGCAAAAGACCTCAGAAAATGATTTGACATTTAAAAGGGTAAAATAAGTGAGTAGAGGACTAGGTTAAATCAGTGGTCCTTCAATTTAGAATAGATTTAGGGGAGTTTCTTACACATATTGCTCTTCAAGGCACCAAATCAGACAAACTGAAACAACATTATTTACAGGAGCAAGTCCAAGACCTGGATATGTATATTTAAAATCTTTTTCCTCAGCCGGGCTCGGTGGCTCAGCCTGTAATCCTGCGACTTTGGGAGGCTGAGGTGAGTGGAACGCCTGAGCCCGCGGGTTCGAGACACACCTGGACAACTTGGCGAGCCCTCATCTCTACAATAAATCAAAAATTAGCCAGGCGTGGTAGCACACACCTGTAGTTCCAGCTACTTGGAAGGCTGAGGCAGAAGGATCGCCGGAGCCCAGCAGGTCGAGGCTGCGGTGCTCGGGAGCGGCCACTGCACTCCAGTCTGGGCGACAGAGTGAGACTCCAACTCAAAAAATAAAATAAAATCTTTTTCATCAAATGATTTGTTGTTGTTCTTTTGTAGAGATGGAGTCTCTGTTGCCCACACTGGTCTCAAACTCTTAACCTCAAGTAATCCTCCTGCCTTGGCCTCCCAAAGTGCTGGGATTATAGACATAAGCCACTGTGCCTGGCCCATCAGATGATTTTGATGCAGATCATTTTAAGAATCTGTACCTAATTCTTTTCTCAAAAGTTTTTCTTTCCCCCTTAGAATAAAATCCAAACAAAAAGCTCTTGCTTGTCTGTAAGACCTGTGCAAGCCACTGTACTCTCTGTTCTCAATCTTTTATCACAATGCATCCTTTTAAATCCTCTGACATGCTACAATCTTTCCTATACCTTAAGGCTTTTTTATGGCTACTCCCTCTCCCAAGAATCCTCTGACTTTGGTTCTTGGTGTGACTGGTCCCTTTTCACTCTTTAGGTCTCAGGTTAAATGTCACTTCCTCAGAAAGGCTTTCTGTGCTGACTACATCTAAGTCAGTTCAAGTTCTTGATTTCATATTCCATCACCTAGTTCTGTGGCTTTTCTCAATTATATATTAATCTTCTCATTTATTGTCCTGTAAATGTTCTTATGCCTATAATTCCCTAAATATGGATACAATCTGTTTTAATTCCTGTCATTAAATAATAAACTCTGACACACACAGGAAGTGTGAAATAATTGTAGAGCAAATAAATTACTAGATACAAAAAGGTAATAATACAAGAATAAATGTAAATATTAAAAAAAGTCACTGAAGGAGGCAGCTAAGTATAATAACGTAATTTCCCCAAATTACAACACAGTCATGAATGTATCTCTCTGATTTCAATCTTTCTCATCTTAGTACAACAATTAAAAATAGTCTTCCCTACATTACTTCCCTTACAAAAGGGAACAAATGTACAGCCAAGAATGCTCAGTAAAAAGTATAAGTGGAAATATGTCATTTTTGTAATTTCATCATTCTCCAATTACTTATTGTTACTTTGAACATTAGGTATCTTCAAAACTGTTTACTTTCTGCCCTGTGCATGGCCACTGTTGCTTTTCTTTGTCCTATCCCAACTAAAGTACTAAGATATTTTGTTTAATGAGCATCAGTTATGTTTTATCATTACTCACTCATTCCACAGATGCTCAAATTCACTGCTAGTCAATAATTATACTACATGTCCTGGCTAGTAAAATAAGACAAAGAGAAAAATATAAGCATCAGAAAGGAAGAAAATAAAAGCCTTTATTCCCAGATCTAGTAGGTTGAATGATGGCCTCCAAAAAAGAAATGCTCAAGTCCTAACTCCCAGTGCCTGCAAATGTGATCTAATTTGAAGTTTTTAAGGATCTCAAGATGAAATCATCCTGGATTTAGGGTGAGTCCTAAATCCAATAATAGGTATAAGAGTGAGGCAGAAAGAGTTTAGACACATAAGAGAAGGTGTTGTGAAGATGGGAGCAGAGAACGGAGTAATGTATCTATAAGCCAAGGAATGCCAAGGATTGCCAGCAACTGCCATTCTTTTCATAAATTGTTGGATTTAAATAGCTAAAATTTTGTTTAGAATTTTTGCATCTGTGTTTATGAATAACAGTGATTTGTAGATTTCTTATAATGTCCTTGTCTGGTTTTGGTATCAAAGTAATGTGGCTTTGTGGAATGAGTTTAGAAGTATTCCCTCATCTTAAAGTTTCTGTAAAAGTTTGTGTACAATTGATACACAAATGTAAAAACCTAAAACTATAAAATTTCTAGAGAAAAACAGAAAATTTCTCTGACTTTTGAGTTTGGCAAAGAGTTCTTAGATATGATACTGAAAGCACAGACCATAAAAGAAAAAAGTGATAAACTGAACTTAATCAAAGTAAGAGCTAATGCTGCCATTCAGAAGATACTGTAAAGAGAATGAAAATACAAACCACGTAATGGGAGAAAATATCTACAAATCATACATTTAATAAAAGACATATCCAGATGATATAAGAAACTCTCAAAACCCAATAAAGAAATAATTCAATTAGAAAATGGGCAAAAGATTCTAACAGACACTTCACCAAAGAAGATATATAAATGAGAAAAAAGCAATAGAAAGTTGCTCAACATCATTAAGCATTAGAGAAATGAAAATTAAAACCAAAATACATCACTACCCACCTATTAGCATAGCTAAAATTAAAAAGGCGATCACAGTGAGTGCAGCTGACAAGAACGTGGAAGAACTAGAATTTTCATAAACTTCTACTAGGAAAGTAAAATGGTACAACCACTTTCAAAAACAGTGTGGCAGTTTCTTAAAAACTTAAACATAGCCAGGCATGGTGTCTCAAGCCTGTAATCCCAGCACTTTGGGAGGCCGAGGCAAGAGGACTGCCTGAGCCCAGGGGTTCAAGACCAGCCTGGGCAAATTGGCAAGACCTCATCTCTATAATCAATCAAAAAATTAGCTGGGTGTGGTGGCGCGAACCTGTAGTTTCAGCTACTTGGAAGGCTGAAGCGGAAGGATCACCTGAGCCCAGCAGGTCGAGGCTGCAGTGGCCATGAGTGTGCCACTGCACTCCAGTCTGGGCAACAAACTCAAAAAAAAAAAAACAAAAAACTTAAAACATATTTTCACCATATGATCCACCCATTCTACCCCAGATAAATTTACCTCAAGATAAATGAAAGCATATGTCTATATAAAGATTTTTACATGAATGTTTCTAGCAGCTTTATTTGCAATAGCCAAACACTGGAAATAACTCAGTGTCCATCTATAGGTTAAATGGATAAATTGTGATACATCCATACAATGGAATACTACTTAACAATAAAAAGGAATGAAGTAATGATACATTCAACGGATGAATCTAAAAATAATTATGCTGCGTGAAAAAAGTTAAGTTAAAAAATCACTGTTTTATTCCATTTATACAAAATTCTAGAAAAATTAAAACTTATTTTTATTTTTTATTTTGAGTGAGATGGAATTTATTAGGCAGCAGGAAAGCTCTCGGCAGTGAGAGGCTGCCCTATTTTATTTTTTAAAAATCTTTTTGTTATAATTTATTTTCTTTTTTAGACAGATGGTGTCTTGCTATGCTGCCCAGGTTGGTCTCAAACTCCTGGCCTCAAGAATCCTCATGCCTAGGCCTCCCAAAGTGCTGGGATTACAGGCATGAGTCACCGTGCCTGGCCAAAAACTAATTTATGGTGACAGAGAGATGATCAGTGGTTGCCTGAGCAGGAGATAGAAAGTACCATGAGGGAGGGATTTCTTTTGAAGGTGATGGAAATGTTTATTATTTTGACTGTGTAATGGTATCACAAAATAAATGTCAACTGATCAAATTCTACACTTTAAATATCTGCAGTTTATTGTATGTCAATAAAATTATTTTATAGTTATAGAAGTTGGCACTTAAAATGGGTACACTTTATATTATGTAAATTATATCTCAATATATATGATTAAGAAAATGCATTTGTCCTATGACTTAGCAATTCCACTTCTATATATTCCCAAGAAAAATGAAAACATACAAACACAAAAATAATTGTACAAGAATATTCAAATCATCTGGCATAATCTGCTTTGAGAATTAACATAGAGAACATTTGATCTCAGAACCTTTGTATTAGCAGTTTGTTCTACTTGGGATGTTCTTACTCAACATTCACATGGCCTGAGACCTTACTTCATATCCCTGATTCAAAGGTCATTACCTCAAAATGGCCCTTCCCAATCTTTTATTTTATTTATTTATTTTCTTTTTGAGTTGGAGTCTCACTCGGTCGCCCAGACTGGAGTGCAGTGGCCGCTCCCGGCCACCGCAGCCTCACCTGCTGGGTGACGGCAATCCTTCCGCCTCAGCCTTCCAAGTAGCTGGAATTACTGGCATGCGCTACCAGGCCCGGCTGATTTTTTGATTTATAGTAGAGATGAGGTCTCACTGCCCAGGAGGGTCTCGAACCCGCGGGCTCAGGCAATCCACTCACCTCAGCCTCCCAAAGGTGCGGGATTACAGGCTGAGCCACCGAGCCCGGCTTCCCTTCCCAATCTTAACCAATTAGCCCTATCAACTCCCCAACATTGTCTCCTTACCCTACTTAATTTTTTTACAACATGTATCACAACCTAATATTATCTGTTTACTTATTTACTATGTTTCCCTTACTATGACATCAACATCTCCATGACAAAAGGAAAGTATATCAATAATGTCTAGACTCTAGCACAGTGCCTGGCTTCGGTAAATAGAAAATATTTGTTGAACAAAGTAATTTTAAGCATTGGAGAAATTAATGTAAATTTAAATACAAAAGGAAACCTGGAAACACAGGTAAAATGGTCATTAAAGGGGAAGAAAGAAAGCAGCCCCTCTTTGAAAGGGGAGGGAAATATGAGAGAAGAGAAGCAAGGAATATGGCAATGTAGTAAAGTTCCTTTGGTAGCTCATGGTGAAAGAATCTTAATGTTTTCCAGCCTTCAGGCCTTTTCTCTACAGGCCATAGACCTCTGAAGGAATCTTTCCAAACAACATATCAGGGATGTGCCTCTTCCCTGACCTAATGAACCATAACTTGTGAAAACATCTGCTTGCCTGATTTGCTGTCACTCACCTGTGTACCAACTCGTTGTCCCTTCCCTCAATACTATCCAGGGCTCTTTCTCTTGCTCCAATAAAGTAATCACATCTGGCTTAGGAACGGTACATCCTGCTCATAAGGAAAGAAATAACACATGTTGTAGAAAAAATAAAACAAATCCCCAAACAACCATAATCTCAAAATAATTTAATTCAGACTTGGTTACATTTATAATAAACTGTAAACCAAAATGGTACTTGAAAAGCCTTCACAGAAAGAAGAAAAACGATCATTTACGAATATTCACATTAAGATGGACGCACAATTACACGACTGAAGAGACCAGGTAAGAGAGGGAAAAGGTCTGCTTTTTGTTTTTGATTGCTGTTGGGGTTTTTTAGTTTGTGTTTTTTAGTTGGAATCTCTCTGTCACCCAGGCTAGAGTGCAGTGACATGATCACAGATCACTACAGCCTTGACCTCCTGGGCTCAGGCAATCCCTCTGCCTCAGCCTCCTGAGTAGCTAGGACTAAAGTCGTGTAACCACCACACCTGGCTAATTTTTTGTAGAGATAAGATCTCACTGTGTTGCCCAGGTTGGTCTTGAACTCCTAGACTCAAATGATTCTCCTGCCTCAGCCTCTCAAAGTGCTGGGATTATAAGCATGAGCCACCGCACTCAGGCTTACTTTGTTTTAAAGGCAGTATACAGAGGGGTTGCAAGCACACACTGCAGCCCTGTGGCTTGGGTTAAAATCTTCTGCCAACTACTAGCTGTGAGACCATAAAAAGTTACTTACCTTCCATGTGTTGCACTTTTATCAACTGCAAAATGAGACCAATATTACCTACCTCATAGGGCTATTGTAAAAATATTACTTCAATGAAAAATGTAAAATTTATAGACTGTAACTTTCAACCACAAAGCAGGTTAAAGAGAATATGTCTCTTCTATGGTAGGGTATGTTTGCTTGAATTTTAAATGAATATTGTTAACTCAATCCATTACTGTGTAATCAATTAATAGAAGCTCTTTCGATAATCAAAGAAGATCAGAAGCCTTCTTTTGTAGGTGGGCCAGACATTGACACAGAGTAGCTACAGGAATCTGAATACAAGCATTATATGAAATCTGGTTTATTCAAAAATGTTACACAGCTCAAATCTGGAAATCATTAAGAAAAACAGGCGATAACAGGAAGGGCCAGAGGAAGAAGTGAATGCAACTGAAGGATGGGAAGAAGAAGGTGCTTAACACAGGTGCCCATTTCCATCCCAACAATGTCCAAACTATTTCTTTGAAAATAGGGGAATTCAGTTCGCTTCTTAAAACAGATTTCTGGAATTTGACAGTGAAGAAAACTGATATTCCAAAAAACAGATTATAAATTTGGGGGGCAGACACCTTACCCAGTGAGACCAGGTTACTGTAGTTTTCCAACATCACATCCCTGTACAAGTCCCTCTGTGTAGGGTCCAGGTATTCCCATTCCTCTTGGGAGAGGTCTATGGCAACATCCCTGAATGTCAAGGACACCTGAAATGAAAAACCTCTGCTTATAAAACAGTTTTAAAATGTATTTTTTAAGATGGAAAATGGCTTTGCTAGAAAGCAGCAACATGGCTAGCAAGTACACTGGGGTTCAAATCTGCAAAATGTACAGAAAAATAAGGAAATTAGTATTTCTTAAGTAGGGTGCTTTTAAAGAATACTATTGATACAAATTAAAGGAAATAACATTAATAAGCACACTGCCTGCATTTTAAGTTCTGAATAAATGTGAATTCCAACATCCTCTCCTCCCTTCAAATATTTTTTTCAAAAAAAGTCTTTCCCCCCAAAAGTACTGTAAAATCTCTATCTTAGAAAACAGGATTTGATTGACATTATGTGATTTCATTGAAACTCAGGATCATCATCATGTAAGACAATGTCATAAACAAAATCTTCAGTAAATATATTTATTACCTGGCTAATCATATCATCCATCTTACGGATATATCAGATTAATCCTTCCTTTATACTTAGGCATTTAGGTTGGAAAAATGTTTAAGATTGTCCTCAATCCTGTGAGCCTATTTCCAATCATCATAAGGGATGTGGAGAACTTTCCTACCTGCTATTCCCACCATCCCTCAGGAACACTTGCTTTGTTCCTAAGCTAGAGGACACCAATGTAGAATGATCCACTATGACACTGCTGTCACTGGAGACACAACCTCCTCAACCACAAAACTGACTTTTGTCCTAGTGCTCATCCCTTGGGAATTCCCCCTGAAAACTTCATACGCAGGTCCAAATCACATTCCAACCTAGTCCTCTAGGCCTCACAAGGCATGAGATCTCACCTCTTTCTCTGAGGCTGACAGTATTTGAGTCATCTGAGATGGCAAAACCCCCAACACTAAATTCCATCCTATCAACCCACAAAACTCAGATCTGTGGAGTTTAATGGGACCTCTACCTCGGCATCATAGAATTATGACTCTGATGATGGAAGCTCAAGTATTTCCCTTGAGAAACTTCATCTTTCACTGCTCCATCAAAGTTCCTGGGAGAAGACTAGGCACACAGATGAATGATAAACAGGTGAGCACAGGTCAGAGAAAAGAGAGCCAAATGAGGAAGGCGCCATTTTTCACTGTGATTGGAGTAACTGGGCAGCAGGTTCAGCAACAGGGTTATCTTAGGAACAATGTCTCAGGATTATAAAAACGATCCTGTGAATTTAAAAACAATATTTCAAGGGGAAAAAAAAACACAAACTTACGTGGGCCATGGTTTTAGAACTGCAAGAACTTGTTAGTTTTCCTTGGGCTTCCTCCACCGGAGAAGTACAGAAACCAGAGAGTCCAAGGCTGGAGGAGGAACAAGTGACTTTGAGAACTGGTGTGTCTCAAAACTTCCAAAATGATTTAAGTTAATATGAACCTGTTTTTTCCTTCATGTCTACTTCCAAACCCATCACACTATACGTATAAACTGGGGGAGACAATGGGGAGTCTGAATAAATGCAAACCTTCCCTGTGCCAAGAGGAACCACCTGTGCAAGTGTAGACACAGAGCAGAGGCCTCCTGTATGAAGTCAGACCAGGCACATCAGTGGAAAGGCTTCTGACCCATCCCAATTTCTGATGATGCTGATCTGAAGTTGAGACTGAATTGTTAAGTCCTGCCCTGAGTAGAGCCTCTTCTGTCCATATCCGCTTTAGGGCTAAGAAGGGGCTACCCCATCTAAACTCAAAAATCATTCATAGCTAGGGTATATGCCTTGACTCTGCAGACACAAAGGCAGAAAACAGCAAGCAGCCTTTGCACTTTCCCAAATGGAGCCTGTCCCCAACCAGGACTATAGCCCCCAAAATCCTCTGTTTTCAACCAACCTCTATTTCCTAATCTATACTGCTTTCCTGCATGAAGTCACTGGCCACTCTAACATCTCAATATCAAAGCTTGGAAGGAGTGAATTGATGACCACAGTGGCCAGGTGACAATAATACAAATAGATATTTTTAAGATCTTCTACATGATAAGTCCTTGACCACATTAACATTTAACCATGCAAGGCAGTGGTCTCCATTCAACAGAAGAGGTAATGGAGGCTCAAATAAAGTCTCTTGCCCAAATTCAGTTAGTAAGAGGTGGAGTGGTGTTTTGAATCTACATTTGTCTTAAATATAAAGCCAATTCTCTTTCAACTCTGGCTTTTGCTTCTGAAGCCCAGGATTTCTTTGAGTGAAACCTGTGGATGGATCATTCACTAAAAATAGCAACATATCATGTACAAAAGTTATTAAATTTCAGTATAGTTAAGGAGGTACTTGGTAAGGAAATAAAATATTAGTTTACAGTTATAAGACTGGCAGATTTAAAAGACTAATGATATGCATTTAAGTAATGTTATGGAGAAATGGATACTTTGTATTTACTACAGATTTTGTCAACTTTAAAACATGGCATAAAGAAGTATGTGAAAGAATTTTACCATACAAATCCACTTCTGGGACTCTGCCCAAAACAAATTATTTTAAATGTGTATTAAGATTCATGCAGAAGCCATAAAAAAGAACAAAATCATGAATTTCGCAGCAACCTGGATGGAACTAGAGTCTATAATACTGAGTGGCCTCTCACAGAAACAAAGATCCGAGTATCACATGTTCTCACTCATATAATGGACCTTGAATATCCAATGTAATAGTATAAGAAAATGACTGACAGTACTGGGAAACTATGGGGGGGGAGATGGGATTAACGGTAGCAAATATCTGTCTGGGGATGGGGAAACACCTCTTATCAATAGGGTGCCTGAATGAAACGTAATTGTACACCTAACCCTTAACTGTACCCCACAAAACCATAATAAAAAATATTGATTAAAAAAAAAAAAGATTCACGCAGAGATGGTGGAGTTCGACAATGAGCCTGGCAACAGCTGACTGGTTAGGTAAATTACAGATCATCTATGTAATAGAATATTAAATAATGGTAAATACTGTACTAAATTGGAGAAAATATTTAAGGGATGTGGAAAATATCCACGATATACTGTAAATAGAAAAACTGAGTTAAAAACCAAAATGTACAACATGATTACATTTGTTTAAAAATATACATTCATATACACATAAAGAAAGAATAAAGGGCAGGCAGAAATCAAGACACAGAAAAATGTCCAAAACTTTATATACCCATATGTTAACACTGCTGATCTGTATGACATTACTTGATACTCTTTTGAAGTATAATCCATCATTTAAAAAACAATTTAAAATATACACACATACATATATATCTATTTACTTCATTTTGATAAGAGAAATCTCTTCCTTTCTGTAAACTAGTACAGCCTCTGTGGAAATCAGTGTGGCAATTCCTAAAAGTTCTAAAAACTGACCTTCCATATGATCCTGCAATCCCCCTACTGGGAATATACCCGAAAGAACTCAGGACACTCTAGAATAAAGATATCTGCACATGTATGTTTATCGCAGTATTGTTCACAATAGCAAGAACATTGAACCAACCATGCTGCCCATCAAAAGAGGACTGGATTTTTTTAAATGTGGTACATATATACAATGGAATATTATGCAGCCATAAAGAAGAACACAATCATGAACTTCGCAGCAACCTGGATGGAATTCGAGTTTATAATACTGAGTGATCTCTCACAGAAACAAAGAGCTGAGTGCCATATGTTCCCACTCATCAGTGGACCCTGAACAACTACCGTATCACTGTAGGAAAGGAATTGAAAGTAGCAGGAAACTGCGGGGAGGGGGTGGGGGGTGGGGAGCTGGGATTGACAGTAGTCGATATCCGCCTGGGGAAGGGGGGCACACCTCATCAATAAGGGTACCTGCACAAGGAACATTTGTATACCTAACCCTGAATTGTACCCCACAATTTCAAAATAAAAATTAAAAGAGAAAAAAATGTCTTCTCTTGAACTTGGAGAAAAAGCTTAAGATCATCTAAAAACAGCTGTTATGTTTTATGGAATGTCTTTTTTTTCCCTTTAGTTCATAACATCTGAACCAACTTCGATTTATATATATATATCTCCACGTATACTACTGTACATATTGATGCTAGTCACAACAAGGCTTTTTTTCACGTACTCCTGACAGATGTATTCTTGACAGTTTACTTTGCTCTGTAACTGTCCTTTCATCCACAATATCCTCCAAACTGCCACTGAATAATCTTGACCCATTAGTTTCACTTTGACTCTAATATCATTACAATAAAAACTTTAGGTATGAAATTGTGCTGTCCAGTTCAACAGCCGCTAGCCACATATAGCTATTTAAATCAGAATTTAAATAAAATTAAAAGTTCAGTTCTTCAGTCACATTTGCCACATTTTAGGTGCTCCATGGCCACATGTGGTGAGCAGCTACCATACTGAAAAATATGGAACATAGCCATCATCAAGGAAAGTTCTGTTGGACAGCACTGGACAGCTCCTTCTTAGGAACTCCTAAGACATGTGATATGAACTATCCTGGTGGTTTTTATTACCTTGTACTTATTCAGTCTATTCCGACTTTATATTCTTTGCTGTAGGATAGCAACTACGTGTTTTCAGTTCTTGTATTCCTCTAATTACTAACATAAGAGCCAGCTTACTGTGAGACTTTATGTCTGATGTTTGACAAATTCCATTTTGAGGCTTTATTTCCTAGAAATGGCTATAAAAACACATTAAAATATATGCATAAAACCATAGAGAAGAACAAAATCATGTCCTTGGCAGCATCATGGATACAGCTGGAGATCATCACACTAGTGAACTATCACAGAAACCAAACACTGAATACCCATGTTCTCACTCCTAAGTGGGCACTAGACATTAGGCACGTGGGCACAAAGGCAGAAACAACAGACTCTGTGCACTGCTAAAGGAGGGAAGGAGGAGCCACAATCACCCATCGGGTACCATGTCCACTACTAGCTGGGGAGAGGGCTTGCCAGAAAACCAAGCCTCTCTTTTATGCAATGCACTTATGTAGCAAATCCTCACATGTACCCCACAACTCTAAAATAAGTATTTTAGAAATTAAAAAAAATTAAAACAGGTACATGCATGTCTATCACTTAATAGTTTATAAAAATCAAATATTATAAATATAGCCAGGCTTGGTGGCTCAGCCTGTAATCCCGCGCCTTTGGGAGGCTGAGGTGAGTGGATTGCCTGAGCCCGCGGGTTCAAGACCCGTCTGGGCAGCGAGACTTCATCTCTACAATAAATCCAAAAATCAGCCGGGTGTGGTAGCGCGCACCTGTAATTCCGGCAACTCGGAAGGCTGAGGCGGAAGGATTGCCGGAGCCCAGCAGGTCGAGGCTGCAGTGGCCGGGAGCGGCCACTGCACTCCAGTCTGGGCAACAGAGTGAGACTCCAACTCAAAAAAAATATATATATATTATAAATATAAATAGCCATAATAGGCAACAAGTTAAATATGGTCAGTTATGACACCATACTCATTGACACGGACTATACTGGTCCATATTTATTTTGGAAGGAAGACATCAATAATGAGTTACTGACCAATACAGGCAAAGTAAAGAAGTATGTACAATTATGGGTGGGATTATAAAGTTGTCATTAATAACACAGACTTTGTTGTCAGACTCTCAGAATGTAAATCTTAGTCTGACAATTACTAACTTTTCAGTTAATTTATTGGTAGGCTAGGGATAAGAACAGCACATATCTCATAGGATTGTCATGAAGACTGAGATAATGCAAATACTCCATTTAATAACATATAATTACCAATAAGAGTTAGATAGTATTATTAAAATAAAGGACATTACGTCCTTTATTCCATTGTTATTAAATAAAATCACTTTCTATTGTTTCCTTTTTAGAGTAAAATTTGAGTCTCATGCCCATTCTTTTTCATAATGATATTTTAAATATTTAGAGCCAAGTCTTGAAGATAAAATTATTTTAAATTAACAACATTAGTAAAACATATTCTCAGAAAGATACTTGGAAGGCTGAGGTGAATGGATCACCGTGAGCATGCCACTGCACTACAGCCTGGGCGACAGTAAGACTCTCACTCAGAAAAAATAAAAAAGCAGACAGAACATTATTTGGTTCTTCTCTACTACTCCACTGAATAATCAATTATCATTTTGGATATAATCCTTGTTAAAAGTCTTTAAATCCCAATATTCGTGACAGTCATATAAAATTTGAAACTTGAGTATTATTATTCATTACTATGAATACTACTTTACCTCATATATACCTTCTTTTTTCTTACAACTACCTCTTTATAGACAGAAATCTCAACTCACTGATTCTCTGGAAAAATCCCTGTTCATGTTCACACAAATTTCTATGCTCAGACTTCCAATCACATTCCTAACAGTCCTCCAAAACAGATGACTATTATCACTTACCTACTGACACCAGTCAAACCATCTATAATCTTGCTGTACTTATTATTATTTTTTGAGTCGAAGTATCTCACTCTGTCAACCCAGCTGGAGTGCAGTGGCATGAGCACGGCTCACCACAGCCTCAACCTCCTGGACTTAGACGATTCTTTCATCTTAGCTTTCCCAGTAGCTGGGACTACAGGTGCATGCCCCCACACCTGGCTATTGTAATCTTTTGATTTCTTTATAGAGACAATGTCTCACTATGTTGCCCAGGCTGGTCTCGAACTTCTGGGCTTAAGAGATCCTCCTGTCTTGATTACAGATGTGACCCAGCGGGCCCTGCCCTGTTGCACTGTTAGACTGAGGTCTTTGGTAAAGATCAATGACAGGACCCTACCTAAACATTAATCTCAACAAAACAGAGTTTTAACTTTTGGGTCCAGGATACGCGTCTCATTATGGAAAAGGAGTGCAGAGAAATTATTTGAAAAATGAGGAGGTCACTTGGAGGCCATTGAAGAGGAAGAACCCTCTAATATGGTCCGTTATTCACCGGAAAGGAAGGCCTAGCATAAATCACTGGGCATTTCAGGAAAAGAAAAGCAAATGAGTTCCATGTCCTGAAAACAAAAATTCATGTTATGAACAAAATCAACACGTCAACTTACCTGGATTTGGACTTTCAGACATGCTACAATTTCCCCCTCTTCTGCAGAATCCTTCTTTTGACGAATGGCAGGATGGGGGAAGAAGGAAATCATGAGACAGCAGGCCTTTCTTAGAGCACAGGTCGACCTACAAGATCCCCACCAGCGCCACATCTGCCCTGGCATCACAAGCATAACCAGCTGTGAGGAGGCTGGAATTCATCTTTGAACCCACAGCAGAACTCTAGGACCAGGGAGGGGGATGGGAATACTACCTATGGTTCTGAAAAATGTAGCAGCCCTTCCAGCGCCTCCAAGTGGGGACCCATTCATCCTGTCGTCCCAGGAGTCTGTTTAAGGGACACCTGAAACTCAAGACCAATCGCAGACCCAGGTCTGTGCCTTCTTACCGGGAATCTTCATCTTAGAGCTCAATATCTGACTTCTCTCTTGGGGACATTGCTCTGTGCAGACACCCAGGTCTGTGAAGGAAGAGGGTCAGTGACACACACCAAAGAGCCTGGCACCAATCGCAGCCTCACACCCGCACCCACCGTCAACCTGGTCCTGACAGCCGCGCACGCGCATGTACACAAACACATACACACACACCTAGTCACACGCGGGAGAGTCACACAATCCCCCTTCTCTGCGCCTCACACACGCGCAGGCCCGAGGCTCTCTCCCAGCACGACACGCCAATCAGCGCCCGGGTTGCCCTCACTTTGGGCGGCAGCCCCAACCCCAGCCCTGCCCCCAAGAGATTCGCCCCGCCTCAACTACCTCCGGCTTCTTTCTAGGTTGCGACCGCCAAACTCACCCCCGGGCGGCCGAACTATCAAGAGCGCACCGAAAGGAGTTCTCGGAGTCCCGGCCAACGTCGGCCAAGGCGCTTCTGGGAAATGTAGTCCCACGACTCCAGCCCGCCTCCCGGCAACCCACACCGGAAGCTGAGAAAGAGCACTTCCGGCCCGGGGCTTGTCTGGGCTATTCCATGTAGCCAAGCATCCTGAGTCGGCACAGCCAAGTTCATCCGTGGGTGCGGCCCTGAGTACCTGCGGGACCCGCACGAGCTCTGCAAGTCGGAATTTTGTCTGTTTCTTTCCTTGAGGGAGTCCCAGCACCTGGTACACAGCAGTTGCTCAATAGGTGCTAGTTATTTATTTATTTATTTATTTATTTATTTATTTATTTATTTATTTATGTCGGAGTCTCACTCTGTCGCCCAGATTGGAATGCAGTGGCACGATCATGGCTCACCGCAGCCTTGACCTTCTGGGCTCAGGTGATCCTTCCTCCTCAGCCTCCCAGGTAGCTGGGATGCAGTGTGCACCACCACGCTCAGCTAATTTTTTTATAGCGAGGAGGTCTCACTGTATTGCCCAAACTTGTCTCAAACTCCTGGGCTCAAACGATCCTCCCTCATCAGCCTCCCAAAATGGTGGAATTACAGGCGTGAACCTCCGTGCCCAGCCAGTATGTGCATTTTAAAGAATAGGTGCTTGGCCCCTTTGTACATGGCCTTGTGAGGGTGTCTATGTGTGTCACTGTGAGGGTCGTGGGACCGACTGAACCTCTCTGGTTGTGGTGGGTTGTGTTTCTGCATGTTTATAATCCTTTGGGTGTGAGTGCTGTGTAGTGGGCAGCATCCAGCTGTAAGAAGAAAGCTGCAGAAAGTAGCCTGGGAGTGTGATTTTTGTGACTGCAGGCAGTGAGGTTATAGGCTCTGTGGTAGATTGTGACTGTGCCTGACTGTAACAGAATGTGATAATATGTGTGTGATGGTGTGGGTATTTGGGTCTCTGGCTGACGGATTGTTGAGCGACTGGAGGTAAGCAAAGCTGTGTGAAGATGATTATGTGTGACCTTGAATATCTGGATGTGTAATGTCAAGGGTGTCAGTGAAATTGTGACCATGTGTGTATGATTTTTTGCAACCATTAGTGGTGTTTAACATCACTAATTATCAGAGAAATGCAAATTCAAACCACAATGAGATGTCACCTCACACCTGTTAGAGTGACTGTTATCTGTGGAATAAAGAGAATATATTGCATCTTCCTGGAACATAGGCTTTACTTAAAGATTTAGACCAGAGAGTTACCATTTATGTGCCAAATAATTTTGTCTTTTTATATTGAATCAAATGAATTTTTCACAGAGAAAAATGCAAATGGTAGTAACTTTTTTGGAAAAAGAAGAATTCTCTCCACGTTTGTGCTGTTAAGGGGACTTTGGAAAATCAGTTTAAAAAGCTTGGACTGAGGAAATAAATATATGCTTGGAAAGCTCATCAAACAGTCAGCTCTTGGTTTCTAAATAACACACTCCATGCAGAAGTGGCAGATTCCATGAAAGTGACAAGATTCTGAAGAAGTGTTAGATTCCAGGACTGGGGAAGCAAAAGTTCAAAATGAGTCTGGAACATCTTGTGCTGGCAAGTAAGGTGGTGCTCAAAGAATGGTGGGAACATGTTGAAAGGTCAAGGAAACCACATTGAAGGGATTCTCACTGTTCTTGCACCTGGCATGATTTGAGCATCAAAATAAATAATACTAGTTATAGATGATAACCCATTACATAATGGAATCATAAGTCCAGCCTCATATAAATTAGTAAGTGGGGGAAAAAGTGGAAAGTTTGATGAGGGACTGGATATTTACATTATTGCAAACCACTTCCCAAAGTACCTTCAAAAAAAGTTTGTGCCTATATGAAAAAATGTCTAACATCATTAATCATCAGAGAACTGCAGATGAAAACCACAATGAGATATCACCCCATACCCATTAGAATGACTGTTATCAAAAAGACAAAAGTTGGATCCTTCCCTCAATTTGTATATATATTTTTTTAAAAGACAGAAGATAACAAGGGTCAGTGAGGATGTGGATAAAAAGAAACCTTCGTACACTACTAGTGGGAATGTAAATCAGTACAACCATTATAGAAAACAATATAGAGTTTCCTCAAATTAAAAATAGAATTACTAACCGATCCAAAAACCCACTACTGGGTATATATCCAAAGGAAATGAAATCAGTTTTGTTTTGTTTTGTTTTTGTGTCAGAGTCTCACTCGGTTGCCCAGGCTGGAGTGCAGTGGCATACTCATGGCCACAGCAGCCTGGACCTGCTGGGCTTAGGCTATCCTTCCGCCACCTCTCCTGGCTAATTTTTTAAATTTATTATAAAGATGAGAGGTTGCCAAGTTGCCCATGCTGGTCTTGAAATCCTGGACTCAGGCAGTCCTCTCACCTCCAACTCCCAAAGTGCCAGGATTATAGACGTGAGCCACCATGCCTGGCCTGAAATCAGTACCTTGAAGAGTTATCTCTTCCCCCATGTTTATTGCAGCATTATCTGTAATGGAACCAACCTAAGTGTCCATCAATGAATGACTAGATAAGGAAAATATGATACATATAATGGAATACTATTCAGCCTTAAAAAAAAAAAATAGGAAATCCTGTCATTGGTGATAACATGGATGAATCTGGAGGTCATTAAGTGAAATAAAGGCAGGCATAGAAAGACAAATACCACAGGATCTCACTTATGTGGAATCCAAAAGAGTTCATAGAAATTCTTAGAAGCAGAGAGTAGAATGGTGGTTACCAGGGGCTGAGGGGTAGTTGTGGTTGGGTAGAGACTGATGAAAGGATATAAAATTTAAGTGAGGAGAAATAAAAGAGTTTGTGGAGATATTGATCAAAGGATATAAATTTAAGTTAGATATGAGGAATAAAAGAGTTTGTATCCAAATTTGAGTCAATTCTGGGTGAGACTAGAACATCCACAAGAAACTGGATGTGATGGGTCTCAATAATTTAGCAGAAGTATGACAAAGGTGTAGTGATACGGTGAATAATATGCCAACAAACCTTACTCTTGCACCAAGCACTACCTGGGACATCTAGATAAACCGTGAATATCAGACCCCGTGTGGGATGTTGTTAGAGTTCTATGAGTGTCATGTACAAGGTTATATGTATCTAGGAATATATGTGCAGTATTTAAACAAATCATATGACCTAGAGGTTTTGCTGTTATTCAGACTACACAAACTGCTCAGGAGGAAATTGGACCAGCAAGAAACCCCATCTCTTCCTCTGTGAGGGATACAAGGAATGCATAACAAGGACAGGGCACAGAGAAGACCGTATCCTGTCAAGAGACGCTACAATAGACTACAGGTTGGGCATAGTGGCTCATGCCTGTAATCTGAGCACTCGGGGAGGCTGAGGTGGGACCATCACTTGAGGCCAGGAGGTTGAGGCTGCAATGAGCCATAACTGCCACTCCACTCCAGCCTGGGTGACAGAACAAGACCCTGTCTCAAAACAAACGAGAAACAAACATACACAGCAAGGTCTCAATGCTTCAGAAAAGAGGCAAAAGTGCGTTCTGGAACAACCAATCAGATTTAACACCCTGCCACCTTTAGCTCTCCTTTAGTTTAGATGTGGAAAAATACAGAGCCAGAAAGATTGCCAGATGGACTAAGTATTGTATTGCCAGTGCTGTCCTTATAGTCCTTGCTGGTCATGTACTTCTGAAGGGTGCATAGGGGCAGGAGCATTCTGGATAGTGGTTTAAGAAAAGTTTCAATGCACAGTTCTGCATGGGGCCAGTAATATCCTCTACTCCCGCTAACACCTTCTCATGAGCCACCACCAGGTGGTTTCTCCACTCAGTCTGCTCAACATGCCCCTCCCCTTGTTCAGAATATGCCATGGCTCCAGGCATCCTGGAAGAAGTAAGGTTTTCTATTTCTTCCTGATTCAGCCTTAGTAGGTTGTATATTTCTAGGAACCTATCGATATTGTCTATATTATACAATTGTTGGCATATAATTGTTCACAATAATCCCTTATGATAATTTTTACTTGTGTCATCCACTGTAATGTCTCCTCTTTCACTTCTGATTTTCTTTATTTAAGTCTTGTGGGTTTTTTTCTTAGTCTACCGAAGGGTTTGTTAATTTTATCTTTTTTAAAAAATCAACTCTTAGTTTATTGTTTTTTCTATTCTCTATTTCATTTATTTCTGTTCTAATCTTTGTTATTTCCTTCTGCTAGCTTTACTTTTATTTTGTCCTTTTTGTTCTAAAAAGAGTTGTAAAAATTAGGTTGTTTAAGATATTTCTACTTTTTAAGTGTAGGCATTTACTATTGTAAACTTCCCTCTTAATACTTTTCTTTTTGTTGCATCCCATAAGTTTGGTGAGTTGTATTTTTGTTTTCATTGTCTCAAGGTATTTTTAAAATTCTCTTTTGACTTTCCTTTTTACTCATTTGTTCAAGAGTGTTTTTTCATTTCTACATGTTTCTGGATTTTCATTTTTTTCTTGCTGTTATGATTTCTAGTTTGATTCCACATGGCGTGAGAAGATATGGTATGATTTCAGTCTTAAATTCTTAAGACTTGTTTTGTGACCCAACATATAATCAATCCTGGAATTTTTGAAGGGCATTGAGAAGAATTTGTATTCTTCTCTTCTATTGGGTGGAAAGTTGTATATATGTTTGTTAGGTCCATTAGTCTGCAGTGTTCAAGTCAGCTATTTCCTTATTGATTTTCTGCCTGGATGTTCTACCCATTATTGAAAGTGGGGTATTGATATCACCTTCTATTATATCATTGCTGTCAATTTCTCCCTTTAGCTCTGTCAATTATGTTTTGTGTATCTCGGTGCTCTGATGTTGCGCACATATATATTTACAATTTTATAGCTTTTATTATTATATAATTATTAATGTCTCTAGTGAAACTTTTCAACATAATGTTGATTTTGCCTGATCTAAGTATAGCCACCCCAATCTCTTGGTTACCAATTGTATGGAGTAATTTTTTCTGTGTGTCTTTTTTTTAATTTCTATTTTATAGTGATACTTCCCCATAAGTATTTGTACATATTTATGAGGAGTGTAATATTTTCTTACATGTATAGAAGGCATAATGATCACGCCAGTAATTTGGAGTATCCATCACCTCAAGTATTTATCATTTCTATATATTAGGAAAATTTCTAGTCCCCTCTTCTGGCAATTTTGAAATATACGATACATTGTTGTTAATTATAGTCTCCTTATTTTACTATTGAATATTAGAACTTATTCTTTCTATCTAGCTGTATGTTGTTGCCCATTGCTCTTTTCATGCCCCCTGCTCCCCACATCCTTCCCAGCTTATGGTATCTGTCATTCTACTCTCTACCTCTGCAAGATCGACTATAGCTTCCACATATGAATAAGAATATGGGATATTTGTCTTTCTGTGTCTGGTTTATTTCACTTAACATAATGACTTCCTGTTCCATCCATGCTGCTGTAAATGACATGGTTTTATTCTTTTTTGTAGTCAAGTAGTATTCCATTGTGTATATATACCACATTTTCTTTATCCATTCATCTGTTGATGGACACGTAGATTGATGTCATATCTTTGCTATTGTGAATAGTGCTACAATAAACACGAGATTGCAGGTATTCTTTTAACATACTGATTTCTTTTCCTTTAGGTAGATACCCAGTAGTGAGATTGCTAGATTATATGGTAGTTATATTTTTAGTTTTTTGAGAAATCTCCACACTGTTTATCATAGTGGTTGTACTAATTTACATTCCCATTAACTGTGTATTAGAGTTCCCTTTTCTCTGCATCCTTGACAGCATCTACTATTTTTTGTCTTTTTAATAATAGCCATTCTAAGGAAAGATTATATCTATTTATGGTTTTGATTTTAATTTCCCTGATGATTAGTGACGTTGAACATTCTTTCATATATGTATTGGCCATGTGTATGTCTTCTTCTGAGAAATGCCTATGTTATTTGTCCCCTTTTTAATTGGGATTATGATTATGATTATGATTATGAGTGCTGTTGAGTTGTTTGACTTCCTTGTGTATTCTGGATATCAGTCCTTTGTCAGATGAACAGTGTGCAAATATTTTCTCCCAGTCAGCAGGTTGTTGCTTCACTCTACTGGTTGTTTCCTTTATTGTGCAGAAGCTTTTTAGTTTAGTATTTGTCTGTTTTTGTTTTTTTGTTGCCTGTGCTTTTGAGATCTAAGCCATAAAATCTTCATGTAGACCAAAGTCCTGAAGTGTTTCCATTATGTTTTCTTTTAGTAAGTGTTACTGTTTGGGATCTTCCACTTGAGTCTTTAATTCATCTTGAGTTGATTTTTGTACATGGTAAGAGGTAGGGGGTCCATTTTCATTCTTTTATATATGGATGTCCCCTTTTCCCAGAACCATTTATTGAGGAAGATGTCCTTTTCCCAATGTATTTTCTTGGTGACTTTGTTGAAAATCAGTTAGCTGTAAATACTGGGTTTACTTCTAGGCTCTCTATTCTGTTCATTTCTCTATTCATTTGCCTATGTGTCTGCTTTTATACCAATACTGTGCTGTTTTGGTTACTATAGCCTTGTAATATGTTTTGAAGTCAGGTAATGTGATGCCTTCAGCTTTGTTCTTTTTGCTCAGGATCGCTTTGGCTGTTTGGGCTATTTGTTGGATAGATACAAATTTTAGGAGTGTTTTCTCTATTTCTGTGAAAACTGACATTGGTATTTTCATAGGGATTGCATCGAATCTGTAGATTTCTTTGAGCAGTGTGTTCATTTTTTTTGACTTGGAGTCTTACTCCATTGCCCAGGCTGGAGGGCAGTGGCACATTCACGGCCACCCCAGCATTGACCTACTGGATTCCAGCAATCTTTCCACCTCAGCCTTCCAAGTAGCCAGAACTACAGGCATGTGCTACCACACCCGGCTAATTTTTTATTTATTTATTGTAGAGACGAGGTCTCACCATGTTGCCCAGGCTGGTCTTGAACCCACAGACTCAGGAAATACTCTCACCTCGGCCTCCCAAAGTGCTGGGATTACAGGCTTGAGCCACCGTGCTCGGCCAGTGTGTTCATTTTAATTCTTCCAGTCTAAGAGCATGGGATGTTTTTCCATTTGTTTGCATTCTCTTCAATTTTTTTCATCAGTGTTTTATAGTTTTTCTTGTAGAGATCATTCACTTCTTTGGTTTAATGTAGTCCTAGATTTTTTTTTTTTTTTTGTAGCTATTGTAATAAGATTGCCTTTGATTTCTTTCTCAGCTAGTTCATTATTGGTATATAAAAATGCTACTAATTTTTCAATGTTGGTTTTGTATTCTAAAACTTTACTGAATGTATTTATCAGATCTAAGAATTTTTTGCTGAAGTCCTTAGGTTATTCTGGAAATAAGATTATATCATTTACAAAGAGGAAGAATTTGACTTCTTTTTTCCAATTTGGCTGCCTTTTTATTTCTTTTGCTTGTCTAATTACTTGGGCTAGCACTTTCAGTATTATGTTGAATAGGAGTGGTGAAAATAGGCTTATTACAGTTCTTGTCTTATTCCAGTTCTTACAGGAAAAGTTTTCAGCTTTTCTCATTCAGTATGATGTTAGCTATGGTTTTGTCATATATGGTTGGTATTATGTTCCTTTTATGCCTAATCTGTTCAGAGTTTTTATCTTAAAGAGATGTTGAATTTTATCAAATGCTTTTCTGCATCTATTGAGGTGATACTATTTTTTCCTTCATTGTGTTGATGTGATGTATTACATTTATTGATTTGCATATGCTGAACCATCCTTACATCCCTGGGATAAATCCCACTTGATCATGGTGTATTATCATTCTGATGTGCTGTTGGATTCTGTTGGCTATATTTTGTTGAGGATTTTTTGGTTTTTGGCAACTATATTTATCAGCGATATTGGCTTTAGCTTTCTTTTTGATTGTTGTTTTCTTGTCTGGTTTTGGTATCAATGTAATGCTGGTTTTGTAGAATGAGTTAGGAAGAATCCCCACTCTTCAATATTTTAGAATTTGGAATTGATGTTAGTTCTTATTTGATGTTAGTTGTATAGTTAGAATTTGGCAGTGAATACCAAGTCTTGGACATTTCTTTGTTGGGAGAATTTTTATTACTGATTAAATCTCATTTTGGTTTTTTATTTCATCCTGATTTAATCTTGGAAGGTTGTATATGTTCGGTAATTTGCCTCTTTTCTCTAGGTTTTCAGTTTGTTAGTGCATAGTGGTTCATAATAGTCTCTGAGGATCTTTGGTATTTCTGTGGTATCATTTGTAATACACTTCTTAGTTTGTTTATTTGGGTCTTCTCTCTTTTTTCTTGATTAATCTAGCTAGTAGTTTATCAATTTTATTTATCATTTCAAAAAAACAATTCTTTGTTTTCTTTATGTTTTGTACAAATTTAGTCTCTATATTGTTTAGTTCTTCTCTGTTCTTTAGTACTTCTTTCCTTCTACTAATTTTGAGTCTGGTTTATTATTGCTTTTGTAGTTCTTTGAGGGGCATCATTCAATTGTTTATTTGAAATTTTTTTTTTAGATGTAGGCATTTATTCCTATAAGCTTCCCTCTTAGTACTCCTTTTGCTGTATCAAATAGGTTTTAGTAAGCTGTGTTTTGATTTTCATTTGTTTTAAGAAACGTTTTTATTTCTTCCTTAATAATTTCCTTGATCCAGTGGTCATTCAGGAGAATAGTGTTTAATTTGCATGTATCTGTACAGTTTCCAAAGTTCCTCTTGTTATTTTTTTAACCTTAAATTTTTTTTATTTTAAAATTGTGGGGTACAATTCAGATTTAAGTATACAAATATTCATTGTGCGGGTACCCCTGTTGATGAGGTGTGCCCCCCCAGACAGATTTCGCTA